TGAATATAAACAGTGGTGTGAATATAAACAGTAGTATGAATATAAACAGTAGTGTGAATATAAACAGTGGTGTGAATATAAACAGTAGTATGAATATAAACAATAGTATGAATATAAACAGTAGTGTGAATATAAACAGTAGTATGAATATAAACAGTAGTGCAAATTGAATGAGCACACGAGCGTGTGTTGAATGTATAACCCGTTTTTTAATGATGCAGAGTTCAGTGTTAAAAGTTTTTGTGTTGTGTGGAAATGTGTGAAAGTTGTGTGTGTTAAGACGGTACAAGATGGAGGGGAGGCAGAGCAGGCAGAGAGTTCAGCATCCTGACTGCCTGATGAACAGAGCTGTCTCTCAGTCTGCTAGTTTGAGCCTGGAGACCCCACAGTCTCCTCCCTGATGGCAGCAGGCTGAAGAAGCTGTGTAGTGGGTGTGTGGGACCACCCGTCATGCAGAGGGCTTTCTGAGTGAGGCGGGTACTGTGTAAGTCATGTAGTGAGGGGAAGGAGGTGCTGACGATCTTCTCGGCTGCTCTCACGATGCGCTGGAGTGTCTTGCGGCAGGATGCAGTACATGCACCGAACCACACCGTGATGCAGCTGGTCAGGACACTCTCTATGGCACCCCTGTAGAAGGTGCACATGACGGGGGTTGGAGCTCCAGCTCTTTTCAGCTTGCGGCGAAAGTAGAGGCGCTGGTGAGCCTTCTTGGCCAGTGATGCAGTGTTCCTGCTCCAGGACAGGTCCTCTGAGACGTGCACTCCCAGAAACTTGGTGCTGCTCACTCTCTCCACAGTAGTATCATTGATGGTCAGAGGAGCATGCTGGACGTGCAACTTCCTGAAGTCCACAACAATCTCCTTTGTCTTATCCACGTTCAGAGAGAGATTGTTGTGTCTGCACCACAAGGCAGTGGTGTTTTGAGTAGCAACCTAATTTTTGAAAGGAAACGTTCCTACTCCTAAATATAGCCACACATCAAAATGGAAGTCGTTACCTCACTAATTTTTCAAGTTATCATGTTCACAATGTGGATGGACAGACAGATGGAGTGTAGTTCTAATTCCCTGTGTTTGCTTCACGACGGGGTAATCTGTGAAGAAATTTAGAAATGGCCTTGCCTGCTAAAAATCTGACTGAATTAAGAAAAATAATAGAATTGATTAGAATATATCTTTATTGGCATTGCATACACATGTTGCACAACAACTGCAATCCTTATAAAGTAAAATTCCCCAAACTACCCGTATTGTAAAATAATTTTCATCTGCTATATAAAAATGATCTTGATCTGAGATCATTACCAAAAAGTGCAATTCTCAAACCAGCAAGGAGTTATTAAAAAAAAAAAAAAAACATAAAATGTGAAAACTAGATCATTTGGTTATACCAGTTTAGATTAGAGGTGTTCTTTTCTTATCAGAAATGGAAGTCACATGAGTATTATCAGACCATAATTGGTTAAAAACGGCAAAATTAACAATTTTCTTGTCTCATTGTGGAGTTTAGAAATC